CCAGGAGTTGGAGGTTGCTGTGAGCTGTGATGCCACAGCACTCCACCCAGGGGGACAGCTTGAGGCTCTGTCTCAAAAACAAAAACAAAAAAACTCAATCAGTAAGGGCATCAGGGAGGAGGGAACAAAGTGGAGATGGGGTTAATAGGTACACAAATATAGTTAGATAATTAGACAAAATGAACAATATTTGACAGCACAACAAAGTGACTACAATTAACAATTAAGTTTAGAGTATGCTTTAAAATAACTAAAGAATGTAATTGGAATATTCCTAACACAAAGAAACGATCAATGCCTAAGGTGATAGATACTCCGATTACCCTGATTTGATCACTTCACATTGTATGCCTATATGAAAACATCACATATACCATATAAATATATATAACTATTATGTACCCATAATAATTTTAAATCTTTAAATTGTTATTTAATTTTTTTAATTTAAATATTAAAAAAAGCAAAACAAAAAATACTCATAAGTAAATTCCATACATCTGCCCTTAAGAGAAAAAAAAGCAAACTTTCCTTTAGGCTCAGTACCCATAGCTCAGTGGTTAGGGCACCGGCCGTATACACAGGAGTTGGCGGGTTTGAACCCAGCCCCAGCCGGCCAAACAACAATGACAACTGCAACAGAAAAATAGCAGGGTGTTGTAGCAAGCACCTGTAGTCCAAGCTACTTGGGAGGCTGAGGCAAGAGAACTGCTTAAGCCCAAGAGTTGGAGGTTGCTGTGAGCTGTAATGCCACAGCACTCTACTGAGGGAGACATAGTTGAGACTCTGTCTCAAAACAAACAAAAAAAACTTTCCTCTAAAAGAAACATACATACATATTTTAAACAGTCTGGCTTTAAAACAAAAACACTTTATCAATTTTTTAAGACAGTTTTCAAGGGCAGCACTTGAGTTCTCAAGCTATTTTTGTTCCTTCTGCGCCAACTCCTAACTACTGAGGCTATAGCCGTGAGGCCTGTGACCTAGCACTCAGTATTCTATGACTTCCTGCTTCAGTGTTTGTAGACCATTACATGGTCAGGATATTTTTTACTTTTCTTCTGTGGAAATTGGTGAGAGAGTAAGATACATGACTTGGCCTATTTTACCTCCAGATATAATTCCACAGTGGTTTAGGAAATAGAATGACTGATATAAAAACCCATATGGCACATAATACAATGGGATTTCTAGTGAACAAAATGAAGTAATCTCAACTCATTTGAGTCAACAGAATCAGTAAACTGGTCAAAACCATTAACACTGCATACTATTAGACTCACTTCGGCACCAGATAGAAACATATATATTTAAGGATAGCATGAAGCAAAGGCAACTGCTACACCTCCTCACTACCACTTACCAATGCAAAACAGGATTTAAACAGGTACAGCCATATAGGCTTTTCAATGGAATCAAACTATATGAAATTCAGAAAGAAAAAGAGATTTGGGTTTTAATATAACCAACCTGAGCTAATACTGTGATGAAGTTGCGATTTAAATGAACAGCTTCATAAAGTGCCAGAAGAATGGCCTCATTGGTTCTAAAGAAAAAGAGAACAAATTAGAATGGTTCTCACAGTGGAAGAGTTAAAAGTATAACCATCAAGATAATATTTCACCCCAGGTCCTCATTATGAATCCCTTTCAGTTTCTATTGTTCCCTTTACTTCGCTTTTGTGCATATGCAAAAGTATACTGGAAGGACTCAAGACCTTAACTTTAATTCCGGAGGACCAGTTCTTAGCTACCTCATTATTTTTTTTTTTTTTTTTTTTTTTTTTTTTGGGGA